TAGCACAACAATCATTGCTACCAACGTTGACAGTGGGGCATGTGTAAATAAACGAATTTTTTAAAGGAAGATGTAGTTGCCATCACCATCAAACACCGGCACAAAACTCATCAAGGAGGGCAGAAACTTATCGCCTCCCTATACGGTGACTTCAAATGTAGGTAGAAGACCCCTATCGCTGTCTTCTAGCACTGTTCGTTCAAGACGGTCGAAATTTCGAGTGGAGGGAACTTTAATCCGCTACTCTCACTGTGCCGGGTAAAAAAAAGCAGATAACTGAGTTTGTTATCGCAAAAAGCAAGTAGTCATTACAGGACAGACTCCGCCCTGGCATTTGTAAAGTCGCTTGGGTAAGATCCTATTTCGTAGCCGCACCTGTTAGGGGTTAGAGGTTAGTATTAAACCTCCTATTACCGGCGGTCTCGCATGACGGGCGGCATGCGGGTGCGGGTACGGCCGTCACTTGCATGCGACGAACAGGTATGCGCCGGGCCTCCGAAAACTGGAAGAAAACCCATTTTTCCATGACGGAGTTCAGAGTATGAACCTCTAACATATAGACAGAAGAAGAAGACCAGTTGTTTTCACGCCTTTTTGGTTCACGGTAATTGCATTTTTACTGATTGTCTACGCAGCTTGTTTAGACGGCCTCCGTTAATATCCAGATGACGCTTGGTCCTGCAGCTCCATTTAACTGGTACCGAATGGATTGCCTACTAAAACAGTTTTAGTTAAAATACCAATTGGGCGATTACTTGCCGTACTGAAAACACAGACACAAGTTAAAAGCCCAGAGAAAGTCTGTTCCGAAGGATTTACTCCAAGTTGGCGCATTAATTTCCTCGGAAATCAAACAAGGCAAACTAATATTACTAATTTTAGCCACTCGCTGGACTAGGAAATTGAAGAGAGCACAAGCAGAGCTCGAAGCATGCGCGTGTGGATCGAGACTTGGTTTAACCGAAGATGACGTGTACACACCCTCCTCGCGAAACAGTCAATCGCTGGATTATGGGGATGTTGCGTTAGGCGGTGTGCGTGGTCTGAACGTCACCCTAATCAGGACAAATGCTAGCCTTGAAGGAGAAGATGGAAGGCACCAGAATGAGGGGTTTATTGTGCACAGAACCCGGAGTTATCCTCTCCGGCGGCAGTGGCCACTGACGAAGCCAGGGCTGGTGTTGACTGCGGCCAGTCATGCAGGAGAGTCCTTGGGACAGTGGTGGCAGCCGTTTTTGTAGGCTCGTAGGCCAAACTCAAGTGGTGTCCAGTCAGTGTGTGTTGCATTTGCCGAGGGGTGATGTCCCAGTGGCTTAGGTTGTGGTTGCAGTGGGGGGGGGGGAGGTGCGTTCAAGTGGCCGCATGGGCAGCTGCGACTGTGCGGACGCCAGTATGCCCTAGCTGTCGGTCGTGGTGTGACTTCAGGTCAGCGAGGCTAGATCGGCTCACTGCAAGAGGGTGAATGACCTTGGGGCAGCGAGGTCTTGAACAATAACGCCAGACCAGTCAGTATGGCTGCACGCTACAAGGATAAGGAAGGGGCAATCAGAACTTGAAGGTCATGGACGGAACCCCGTGCATGGCCACTATAGTGGAACCGACGGAGGGTTAGACCGCAGTTGGTAGTCAGGCCCGGTTTTACAGGTGGCTGCGGGTCTCTTTACTGAGGCTATTTTGTGGGGTTCCATAATCACATCTGACAAATTTGGCTGCCGTTTTACGTTTGAGGTGAGGATTAGGGTACCGGTTAAAGGTGTCCGATTTTCGGGTTAGGGTTTGACCTTAAGGCTTAGATTTTCGGGTTACGGTTAGGGTTTGAGCGTATGATTAGGTTTCAGTACTACGGTTAGGTTTTTCAGTTGCGGCTATGTCTACGGGCTAAGGTTACGTTTACGATTTCGGTTAGGGTTGCCGTTAGGGTTAACGGTTAGCGTTTAAGGTTGAGGTTAGGGTTAGGGTTAGGACTAAGTTTAAGGTCACCATTCACTTCCCCATTCCTGGCTACAAACTGCGATCTAGCCCCAAAACGCAGTTCCAATCCGTCTGAACAATTCCATTAGCAAGCCTACTTAGCCGCTCACTGAATTGAGATAATAAGGAGGGCGTAGGCAGAGTTCGAAACACGCACAGGAAAGCACGTTTGAGCTGATACCGAATGTAACCAAAGATGACTTTTAAGGATTCCCCAACCCGAGGCATATTCAGACGCGTACAACCACGTGGCATATGTAAAGTCAGCGTAATCACATCTAAAATATTGGTTAGGAAGCTAATCATATGCTATTAATCAAGTGGGGCTGCAGAACTAAACCTCGCCCAGATGACTCAAAAGGATGACCGTTGACTACTGCGCTTGCCGTCTTCTTGGTCGTAAAACGAGACGGAATTTCTGTGCTCAGAGCATCGAATGTGCTGTGTCGGCGACGTTCTGCGACACCAATGCGCCTTGCAGGTGACCTTTTTGAGTGCGATGGAAAGTTAAACTCTCAGGTGTAATCACATAGGAACATGAACCCACCCATTGGCGATTCAGCACCACCCACCGATCTGCTATCCTAGATCTAGCTGCAGAGGCCTAACCAGACTGGGGTGTAGTCGATCTAGATGGCTGTATGGCCGTCGTTTGAATGCAGGATCAGCAGATTTTTGTGTCAGTGTTGAATATTCGAGTTTTTAACAAACAGTCGGCTCTAGTTAGCACTCCCTCACCACGATCGCCTAATGCGACCAAGAAGACGACTGCTTGGAAAGTTGCCAGGTTCAGTTCAGTTCAGTTGCCAGGTTAAGACGGGCCATTCCAGACCTTGGCGAAAATAATCAAATCATGAAGAAAGGGTCTTTCGGTAGGCTGAGGTTATGTAACTCCACCTGATGGACACAATAGGCTTACAGGTCGAGCTATATTCTAATAGTGAGATCATCTTTTCAACATAGTCGCCTTGTTTAAAATCACAGTTAAGCCTCTTTTCTGTATAGGGAGAAGGAGAATGTTTGTCCTTTCTTTATATGATAACACTGCGTAGTACTGTTTCTGATTGTAAACCGTTCATCTTCTTTGAGGTTTGCTGTTAACATAACGGGCTCCTAGGCTGCAAGGAAATCTAAGAAATTTGAATCGGAAGTATAGCACGTCATTCCTTCCGGAAGCACACTCCCTTCATTACAAGGACTCTCGAGGACAGATTTCCGACCGCGGAGAAACACATTTGCCTTGTATAAGCTGACTCACATAGGGCCATCCACGGTAAGACGTGGTTCGGTAGCCCCACCTGATTGGCCCAATACTGTTGGGGTGGGGATCAAAGACTAGGGTTACGGGTAATGGTTGGGGGGTTAGGGTTGACGGTTGAACTTTAGGACAAAGGGTTATAGTTAGGGGTCAGAACAACTATTTCTCAACCACTAAAAGTACAACCGCGCATTTCCAATAGCTTTTCTTCTGCCTGTTCGTTCACGGCCCTACTTGTAAAAACCCCTATTATCACCGGTCCCGTCATACAGGCGGTTGGGGTTTGTTTACGCCAGCGGTATAGAGAAGGACCCCACTCAACTCTCAGCAGATTGTGGATAGTGTCATATGAGGTTATGTCTTGGCATACATTTGCAGGCTGTTGCAGAGATTACATTACCAACAACGACTACTTCCCAAGATCCGTTACTGTGTAACATTTGCTTTTTGGTTATTTTTTAATTACTATTCTCATTTACGTTGTCGTATAATAGCTTAGGATAGGAATTTCGGCACAAATCCAGGAAATTTCTAGCGTGCTACCTCACCCAGCAAAACTCCCCTTACCATAAATCACGTATGGCACGATCCACAGTTTACTGGCAGTTAAGTGGGGTCCTTCTCTATACCGTTGTCCTTGTTTACTTCAGGTGCGGCTACATAACCACATCCGACCGGTCTCTTTCGACCGAATATTGCAGCCCTTCGTGGTCCTGATGGGCAACTAATGTTGGCGCGCACACACGCAGAATCGATAAGATGTTCGGAAGGGAACTTTTCAGTCTGGCCTGTGTAGTTACAAGAACAGTTGTGACACAGGATGCGAAACGCCTCTCTCTCTCTTCCTCTCTCTTCTAGTAGACTGCGCTTTGGTAATAAAGTCGATCTTGAGCACATTGTGCTGTTTCTCCACACCCATTGTCGGACACATAATCCTGTCATTCGAAAAAGTATTTATGACGTCATTGAGTCAGTCTTTCAAAGGATCGACACCCTCGAAACAATCAAGCCATGACACCCCCACCTTCTTAGGTGCTGAACACCCCACGCTCTGCCGTCGTATTCATCAAAGATTATTTCGCGTACTAGAGATTCAAAATTTACGCATTCATTTGATTGTGCTGGTGGTTGCATTAAGCCGCCAGCTCCAACTATATCGGAGAAATAAGCTGCGTTTGTTCGCAAAGAAACAACGTGTACGAGTAACTTTCCTCTCGTTAGACATCAAAATACTACTGGCTACAACAGGCGTCTCTGTTTCGAATCCAGTATCTTGTTTAAGTTAAGGAAAATTAAAAAAAAATAGTAAATGCTGTTAATTTGGTTTTATGAGCAAATTTGACAGTTCGCTGTCTCGCCTCAACAGGTTGTTTGCGCAGACCCGAAGGTCATATGCAAGGTCATGATAATTTGATAAGTGATGTGCATGTGATTTGCTCGAAATTTCATGAATGCACCAAATGGCGTAGATAAATTAAATCAGTTATCTCCTCCGCATAGACGACAATAATGACAGCTTCTGTATTCAACGATGCTCACCCAGATTCACAGACCCGCATTATTACGAGAGTTTTCTTAGGGAATCTGCGTAAATATTACAATCTAAATGACTGGTTGGCAAGTATGGGTTTGTCTTCTATAAGTTCACAACAGGCTGATATATTTGCATGGGAACGGGGCTAATTAAAAACACGCGAGTAATGTTCATCTGATCGCATAAGTGGGGGGGGGGGGTAATGAGAGACAATGTGATTCAGTCTGGTTAACTGAATCAGTTAAGCAGGAGTGGAAAGACGGTTGGGCAGAGCCATGGAGGGGAGAGGAAGGAGCGGAGAACGGTCACCTGCTGAAGCTCTCGACAGAAGGGAAGAAACGTGGGCGTTCGGAACGTGCCATCATGCGGAGAATGCTGCATTGTCAGGGCACGATGGTCGGCAACTCGTGCCATCGCAGCCCCGGCAAGATTTGGTGATTGGACAGATTTCACGAGAGCAGGAGATTTGACATCCGACTGAGCAGGCAGAAGCAGCAAGTCTTTGCTTAAACTGAGGGAGCGCTGTTGCGGTTGAAGTCCGGCATCCAACCTGCAACAAATCAGTGAAAGACACGGCATTGAGTAGACATCAGGTACAGCCCTGCGGGCGTCAAGTCTCGCTTGATTGAAGCCATCGATCGACGGGAATTGTGGCGTAGACTGAGAACTGTCACCGCACAGGGTGCACGTACTTAAAATATGGAGCAGACTGAAAACAGAGTGTTAAGGTGAACTAAAATAAGAAAAGGCTATAAAGATCATGCGCACCTTTGAAAGTATTAAAATAGATCGCAGTGCGCACTTTCCTGATTGAAAGGCGATCTCGGGAACCAAAGTTTTACTGTCCTGGCGTTTCAAAAGCATACAAGCTTCCATCGTCGGAGGTGAGTGTGGTATCGCGCCTCACAGTATTTATAGATGGGTAACAGTCATGTAAAAACGGGTTTTCTTACATATGAAGTCCGGGTGGCAAGGGGGAAGGGACGGGGGGAGTCCTATAGCGACTTTTCGCCGGATGAGAGGGTGGTGGATCAGCTTTAGTGGTCATCAGCACACCTGGCGGGCGGGTGGGGGGAGGGAGGGTGACGGAATGTACTCAATCTACATCGGAGGCCGGTGTTGGGACGTTGGTGGTCGTCGTTCCTACCTTCATTGACCGTAGCTGTCGTCCAAGCCCGGCAATCTTGTTTACGCCGCAAGGACTCGTCGGAACCCGGTTGAGGGGTGGCTGAGTGTGTATCCGCCATGGACTCGCTCATATCTGGATTCATATTTAGCCTGGGTGCTCTTATGCTCATTTGTTTACTGGGCTGCGCTCGAAGGGCTTGATAGGCAGCGGGAAGAGCCACACAGCGGTTGATGGAGGTTGTCCCCGTGTGCCAAGCCTCGATTGTTTCCCTGGCTATGCAATCGTTTCCTCGGCCCATAATTTCGACATGCTGAAAGGCGAATGTGTGTCCGGCATCGGCGCAGTGTTCGGCCACCAGAGACAAAGGGTCCATTCGCCTTACTGCCCACATGTGGTCTCCAGCACGGGTCTGTAGCCGTTTGCCGGTCTCCCCAATGTAGTTTACTTCGCAGGAGTTACACCGGATCCGGTAGGTGACGTTCGTGGTTTCACCTAGTGGCAGAGGGACCTAAGGTCTCATGACCAGATGTCGAATTGTTGACTCCGGTCGGTGGGCGATGCCGTCGATGTATGGAAGCGCCCGCCATATTGTTGGTCGTTCTGTCACCAAACGTCGGCTCGGTCCGGCCTGTCTGCCGCGTTCAATGAAGTTGCGAGGATACCCGTTGGTCATGAAGAGGCGCTGGAGGTAGCGTAGTTCTGACCTTCTGTCGTCCGGCTAGCTGCAGTGTGTTTCTGCCCTTCTGTAGAGTGTTTGCACACAACTGAGTTTGTGGCCTAACGGGTGCTTACTGTGGAAGCTCAGGATTTGGTGCGTATTACTGGCCTTCCTATATACCGTCGTTTTGAGGTGCCCATTAGGTTATCGATGGACGAGATCGTCTAGGAACGGCAGTTGATTGTTGGCCTCCGCCTCCATTATGAACTAGATGTCAGGGAAAACAGAGTTCAGGACATCATGGAATTCTTGGACCATTTGCCGCTTAATGATGACGGAGGTATCATCGATTTATCGAGTCTGAAATTTCGGCTTATAGGTTGAGAAAACTAGGGTCTCTACTTTTTGCTTCGTGAAGCCAATAGATCGGTGTGCGCCCATTCCTGATTGATAAATACCCGATGTGCAGCGACAGAGAATGACAGGTGGCGAGGCACTGATGAACTTCGGTCCGATGAAGTGCTTATGACCCATGTGGTAGACCCCAGTGGTGGATCAACTGCGCCAGGTGCGTCTGTGCGCATGTTTGTGTTTCTGGTCCCAGCTGCTGGTGGTCAGGGTTATGATTGGCTGAATGAAGGCACAATAAGCCCGAACCAGTACTGTATCAATCTACCCGCATTCTCTGTCGTCCCTCCTTGCTGCTATTATGACTTGGCCGACTTCGGCCTGGTAATTGGTTCCCTGTTCGTGACCTTTGCCACACATACGGAGTTTGTTTGCTTCGTGAAGCCAATAGATTGGTGTACGCCCATTCCGGCTGAACCACTTTAGCTCAAGGAAATCGATATGGTATTCATTCTGATGAAAGTATCATTTGTGGAGTCCAAAACCAAATGCGGAATTTTTAGTTAACAAAGTAAGTAGTAACCGTACGTGCATGGATTTCAGCTTGGAGGGTAGTTGTATCATAGTCTTCCTCGCCACCATCATGATAATTGCTGAGACATCCGGAGTAAACAGAACAGCTTGATAACAATCATGGTTTCATAAGCTGTGAAGACGTGATTTGTTGACAGAATTACGAGAATCAACTAGGAGGTTTACGCAGAAGGTGGTATCATGGGGACAACTCTCTACATCTTGGTATCGGACACTGTGAACTGGCAATGAATACCAGTTTAACGAGGAGGAAACGATAACAGATTTGGCATTTTAATGTTAGAAGATACACTTCTAATTACTAGCAGCACAGGTACTGGCTAAAGGCCCAGACACCTGTTTCTGCCGCTGCATGGCACGGCTGCTAGGGGTTCGGTTCATCGGTGCGTCCCCCAGCATTCCTCTTGTGCTCTCTGGTATATACTGCAGTGTATAAATTATTGTTAGTATAGTATCGTATAACGTCAAAATATGCTACTAGCTGCCGGTCAGTAGTTAATGAATATTACGCGGCTTTCCCGCTGTGGCTGATGAACTTCGGCCCAAATATTCATGCATAAAATTCTCGGTCTTAGCCCATAGACCTTAGCATAAACTGATATACTCCAAGTTGGCAGTTAATTTCTGAGAAGATAAAAAAGCAACGAGATGTGGCATTCGCGGATCTTAATCATTTTTGGCAGAAAGGATTGAAACAGAAGAACTCAGGATATCTAATGGCATAGTTCGCTTGCACAGCCAAGATCTTTAAGGCAACGTTGAGAACTTTATCAAACTCCAGGCGATAGCCAAAATGCCCGGACGGTTTTGAGGACCTGGGTTTCCCGATACACCGGAGTAAGGAAGCCTCTGTACGCACTTGCCTAACATTTTTTTCTCTTATCCGTCATTTTTACTTTTATTCTTTTGCGTCTCAAGCTAAACGCTATTGTGGTCTCTTTTAAGGTCAGTTTTCTCTCAATGGAAAAAAGTAGACCGCCTGAGGTGAAAGTGATTAGTCGCTGTTTTACAGGCAGCAATGATGAGCAGCAGATTTGAAAAAAAAATTGGTGCCTAGACGGTACCAGGAACACAGAATTTACCATCAGACAGTGAATAATAAGGCCAACTTAGCGTGCGTTCCCCTTCAGTCTACAAACTCAGGAACGAGTCACCGTTTCTCTAGCTATCTGCCAGGTATTGTTTTCAATTAGCCTTGCAAATAGTATCAGCGGGGGTTTTTAGCAGCAAGTAAAGCCTGACTTATTGCTCTACATGTTTTCCTGAGCGCGGCTGTACACACGGAGGCCGACACCCATTGGACAGGCGACCCACAGAAGCGTTATATGCTGACTTCCAATCCATACTCTGGAATTTCAGAGCGCAGGGTTCATTCAAGCCAAGTGCGTGCACGAAGTAAACACTCCTGCGGTCAATTTTACGTCGAACGCCATCCCGAATATATTAAACTCACTCCTTATGACTTCAAATTAACAAACATTGCCTGCGTCTCATGCGCTGTGACCTTTACTTGGAGATTTTTTCACCCTCCTGCATGTAAAAAAGTCCACATATTAAATGATCACGTAATGTGTATTTCGTCTACTGATATTTTGGTTCTTGCGTAGAATTAATTATACGGTAGCTGGCCTGTCTCATGAGGTGTTAGCCGAACTTCAGTAGAAAAATCTATAAAATACGCCTTCCTGTATTCATACGGTAGAAAGTTACGTTTTCGCCTTCAAAGTCTGTAATAGGAGGGAGGGCATCGCCCGATTTACAAAGTTTGTATCTGACATTTGCCAATGCTGCTCACTCATCGTGTTACGGAACTCACTCGTTCAGTTGTGCCTTAGGGACTTGCTCTCGAGCCCAACCAGCAGCCGCACAGCGGCGCATTATATAAACAGAATGGCATTGCTGACAAAGACAAGGGAGACTGGGATGGCCATTTCTGGCTTAGTAGCCGTCATCAGTCAGTCACACCCTATCCCGAAGTGTGGCACACCCGAGGCTCGAACTCGCGACCTGTTTGCTAGAAGTCCACGCCTCTAACCACTGAGCCACGGGCTCGTGGCCCTGCCGGTCTCGATCGTGAATATACAGTGGTGGCGGGTATGGTTGGCTGATGACGACTAATAAACCATAAATGACCCTTCCAGTCTCGCTGGTCGTCAACAGCGACGCAATTCTGCCTATATCAGGCGCCCCTGTGTGGTTGCTGACAGGGCTCGAGAGAGAGAGAGAGAGAGAGAGAGAGAGAGAGAGAGAGAGTCCCAAGTCACAAACGGGACGAGTTAGTTCAGTAGCGCGATTTGTGAGCGCTCTCCTTACACTGTGTATGCCTGATTGCTACGGACAGACAGCGAGTCCTTGTCTTTGTGGGTAATGCTATTCCCACTATATGTACTTCTGGTCGCAGCTGAAAGGATAAGAACCTGTGGACTAGGAGTAAATTGTTTGGCCTACTGGCTCAACCAGTAGGATCTGGGTTAGAGGCTCGGGGCCCGAAGGTTGAGTTCACACCGACCAACTGATGACGCCAGGGAAGCCCGAAACGGGCGCACCAGCTTTCGTTGGTGGCATGTGCCAGAAATAGTCTCTCTCATGTATGTCAGTGCACGTAAAAGTTGTTGATTAATTAGTACTTTGGTCCTCCTGGTCCTAGTTTGGGTGAGCATACGCCGTCCCGTGATTTTCAGTTCATTCTGTTTCCCAAAAGTTTGGAGAAAAGTGGCCTAAAAGCTCATCCATCAGAGTCTGGACTACAGTGCCGGGCCTGGGGGGGGAGTCCCAAGGCACAAACGAGGTAAGTAAGTTCGGTAGCGCGATTGGTGAGCGTCCTCCTACTACTGTGTATACAGTAGGTGGGCTAACTCATGAACTGTTAAGCAAAATTCCGAAATGCGTTTTCGCTTCGAGAAGATTAATTAAGTAGGGTTATAAAACTAATCAGCCCGCAGCATAATTCCATTATAATTCAGTTAACTCAGGATGCCAGCTTTCGAAGAAATTCCTTCCGGTTGCATGCAAAAACTACACTCTGTAAAAAATGACTACTTAGTTAGAATGCATTTTCTCCTTGATTTTCGATGTTCCTAAACGTCCAGTTATATTTCGTGGAAAACATGCGTAAAAATATTCATTCTTTCGTTCATTCGGTAGACAATTACGTCTTCCTTCAATAGTATACTCGAAGGAAGGGTAATATTCGGTTTTCAAAAACCTTTCCAATTCCCGAATAATTTTGATCCCACCCTGCCGTTACACGTGTATTCAGGGTTTCCAATCTACGAATCGCATATTTTTAGCGTACGGAAAAACAATGCCTTTCTTTATGGTACTAAGTGGCGACTATATGGGGTCCACAAAATTTTGCATTGGATTTGATCCATATTGTTAACTTCACAAGCCACGCTGGTAAATGCAGAGACATGACGATTTATGAAAGGTCATTTCACGGTATTTAAAAGTCTCACAAACAGAAACTTTTTTAACACCGAATTATGTCCCCCCTTCGAGCATAAAATTGAAAAAGACGTAATTATCTACCGAATGAACGAAAGAATGAATATTTTTATGCATGTTTTCCACGAAATAGAACTGGACGTTTAGGAACATCGAAAATCAAGGAGAAAATGCCTGTTAATTAAGTAGTCATTTTTTACAGAGTGCAGTTTTTGCATGCAACCGGAAGGAAGTTCATTCGAAGGCTGGCATCAGGAGGTAACTGAAGTATGATGGAATTATGCTGCAGGCTAATTAGTTTTATAACCCTACTTAATTTATCTTTC